GAGCGGCGAGGGGCTGGCTGGCGGCCGCGAGGAAACGGCAGCCCGGATCACTTCTGCATGACAATTGATGGGAGGGAGGGCGCGAGGCAAGGAGGGAGGACGGCTGCGGTGTCCGTTTTCTCACCATGGTGATTAGGCATTCCGGCCGTGCGAGGAGGCAGCCGCCGACCAGAGCGGCGCGGCGTGGAGCGAAGGCAGGGGAAGAGCGGGAGCGGGAGCGGGAGCGAGCCCAGCCGCCGGGCGGGCCAGCGGCGCGCCGAGCCAAGCCAAGCCAGGCCAGATGGCTCTGCAGCCATCAGGGACTGCTCCCGTCCAGCCCGGCCCCACTTTAGCTGTGCAAACATTTCTTTATCCCAACAAGACAATTAAACCCAGCAGCATGAAAAGGAGTCTCCATGACTGTGTTGGGAGTGAACAACCAGAAACAACCACACACATCACAGGAGTCCTCGCCCCCTCCTCCCCCACCCACCCCAGATGGGGAGGGAAAAGGGACTCCGCGAGAACCCCGGGAGCAGCTGAGCCGACAACCGGGCTAGGTCTGGGCAATCAGTACAGAGGGCACCATCTGACCCATCTTTCTGATGATTTCTGCACCCTTTCAGAGTGGTCATCTGCTCCAGCTACAATCCAGAAGTTGAGCCTGGTGACCTGAGAGCCGCCCCAAACATTCTTCCCAGCAAGAGCAATTCTCCTAAAAGCCCAGATCAAGGTCCCTACCCAGACGTAGTCCTGGGTAGTCCCAGAGCCCTTGGGAAGTAGCCCCCCTAACACCACCCCCATGTTGTGGCCAGCCCTGCTCATTCCAGGCTGCCCTGGGCCTATGTGGGCTCAGCTGATTTGATTCCTAGGACATAGGGTCTTCAAGGATACGTGCCATTGTAAAGACACATCTCAGAGTCAAAATACCATCTCTCCTACTCAGGGCTTTTCAAATGTGAATGACTTCGAATATATCAAAGATGAGAGCAAAGCAGAACATCTGGGAACGGCTGTGAGTCACAGGGTTCCCTGCCTACCTGTGAATCTGCCTGACCACAGGGAAGGGCAAAGAAAGAGGGCCACTTGGGGTCAGTGTCCAGTGCCCATCTCTGAGGTGAGCCAGAAGGCAGGGCCGCTCATCACTTCCCAAGGGCAGTTCTGATTCCTCTCAGCCCTCAGGGCGAGCATGCATCCTAGCCAACTCCAATTGCTGTATCACCCAGACAGGAATTGGGCACAGGAGAGGTCTACAGAGAACAATCAGGAAATGCACATGATAAGAGCCAGAGTGCTAAGGGGGTAATAAATGTATAGATTCTAGCACAAGGCAACAGAGAATACTTATTTTCCCTTTTGTTGTAAAGTTTCCTTAATGAGGAAATGTTTACTTTAAAAGCCCTGGGAAACATATCTGTAGACACTTCATATGTAAGACACACGTGGACTATTCATAATTGGTCCATAAATTTTCACCTCATTTCCCTGGACAAGGAGACTTGGAGACGGGTTCAGGGCATGACAATAAACGGGAGTTACCTCAGTCCCCTTCCTGGGGAATCATGCATCCTCCACGAATGGCTTCTCACAAAATACTTCTCCCTTTTTCCAGGGCACATAAGTCAGTCCTGTTGAGTAAAGGCTTCTTTTTTCCATAGAGCCCAACACCTACCTCAGGAATCACCTGTGATGCCAGGTAGATGAACAGGCAAGCAAACTGGAATCATCTACTAGGAGAGACAATACTTTACCCAAATAGCTACATTTCTTTCTACAAATATGCATATTTAATCACAAAAGAAATCCTGCCTATCAGTACCCAGATTTAAGGAAAGAACACGTGTGCATTACACCATGTCTGCAGGCCCCTCTTTCAAGCGCTCTCAGATGTGGACATATCTGCATATGGATGCAGTGTGTGAGCAGGGGGAGGCTGCGAGAGTAAAAACTGCCAGTGTTTCCACTGTAAAACTGATATTTTTCATTGACTTAAAACTCAGTCATAAAACTTCTACTCTAAGTAAGGGACACACACACCCACACTCATCCCACCCCCCAGCAAACCCCTAAAGCTACATGCTTATTTAGGAGTTTTACTGTTGTATTTAATTAAAACTTTTTTTAAATTTTATGAAAAACATTTTATTTATATGAAGAGAACTGAAAAATCAGTCAACCATATCAAAGATTAACTCTAAATTTTAAGTATTACAAAACATAAAATATACACGGTTAATTTCTGGCAATCTGGGCAAAAGCCACTGTATCCTATCACTTTGCTCTTTTGAACACTTTCTATCCTCTCTCTTCTTGCCTCCCCACCTCCTCACTGCCCCATCTGCCCCTCAAGCTCTCCCCTTGGAAGCAGTCTTGTATACTGTCACTCGATTATCTGAGAAATATTACTTATTTCTAAACGGTTCTGTAGGGAGGACCTGAAAGGCATCTAGTGGGAATAATCAGGCCTTCTAACGGCCCTTAAATATGTATTTACATAAAACAGACCATAAATATTCCGACACACGTCGGCATATGACAGGAGCCAAGAAAGCTGCAGCAGACTTTGTCATGGTGCCTCTTCGACCCTTCCTTACAGAAAAATGTTTCCCCAGCCTTCCAAATACTCAAAATCAAAAGCACAAATGCTCCCCAGTACAACCCTGTGAAGGCTGCTATCCCACCCAAGGGAAGGAAAGGAGAAAGAAGCACAAATCCAGGGTTATCACAGGGTAACAGTCTCCTATTCACTTTGTACCTTTATTTCTCATTTAAGATCAGTCACAAATGCAACTCTAGATAATAATGTGAGTGGACAGTCTACACTCACAGACACGCCTACAGGTCTAATGTTTGTGTAAGAGAAAAAGGAGAACACAAAATACTCATTAAAGAAAGGATATTTTAAACAAATAAAAGGGGAAAGGGCTCCAATTTATACAACACTACAGTTTGAAGTAAAGAAGTTTCCCCACCCTTCTGATCAGAATCTCATTAATTCCAAGGTCAGAATTCCATTTCACTTTGGGAGACAGACTCATTTAATTTTTCTCCACCCAGGCGTATTCCTGTGTGAGGGATCCATCTCCATGGGGGATGGCACCCCTACACAATGCAAACCAGGCAAACGGAAGACTTATGGCTTTGACACTCAGAGGGGAATGGATATCCACATCTATGAGTGCTGACCTGACTAACAAGCTTCCTCCTGCTCTGGGTGTCTGAGACAGGTTTGGGCTAAAAAATGGAAAAATGGAGACAAGCTGGATTTGTTAGGAGAGAAGAAAGGAATCTTGACCTCCAGGTGTTACTCTGTGGCATGTTAGTTTTAAGAGGATTTCATATTCAACTTGTGTTTGGAGAAAAAAGGAGCAGAATCTGTCACACCCGAACCCAGGACAGTTTTGGCCAGAGGTCAGGTTAGAGCTCGCCTTTATCACTTGCACTTCGGCAAATGAAAACTAAACTACACTAAACTAAAACAGACCGATACAAAGCCAATCCGTGTTCAGCAAGTATATTCCTAAAGCAGGGTCAGCGCGCGCGCACACACACACACACACACACACACACACACACACTCACACATCAGCTGTACAGAAAGGGAAAGGTGGAATAGGAGCTAAAGCAAAAGAGAGAGAGAACATGGGCAGTTGTGCTGTCAGATAGCAGCCTTCTCCCTTAAGTGGAGAGGTCTTGGGCTTACAGACGCTGACATAAAAGACACACTTGCAACATATTTCAAAACCAAAGAGCGATGGATTTACAAGGCAGGTTGATTTTATGATGACTTTTATTGAAAAGGTACGCTGGGTTTAGGCAGATGCCTTTTAGCGCAGGAAAGTTAACACAGTGCCTAATTCAAGGAGACAGCCTGAGGAAGCAGTGCCGACAGGGGAGAGAGCTGCAACGTCTCTATTACTCTCCTTGGCATCATAAAGAGAAGAGAAAAAAATGACATTCGTGGTGGTGGTTATGGAGAGGACGGGAGCACAAAAAATAGAGAAGAGGGGAAAGCAAACCTCAGATGTAGTTTTCTTAAGAAAATAAAATGAAGCAAATCTTAGAACAAAGGATCGGGTGGAAAAACACCCTCAGTTCATAAATTCTCACCAGTCTTGAAGAAAACTGCTCTGTGGGGTCTACCCATAGTCCAAAAGCTTCAAAACACAATTATTTTCTGATTATATTAGAGGCGAAGATGGCAGGGTTCAACACTCCTACTCTACAAGTTCCAAGTAAAGGTTTAGCCCCAACTATTAGTGAGTGTAGCCGGAGCCCAGCAAGGCACTTGGAGAACATGACAGAGCTGTTCCCTAAGCAGAAATTAATAATAGTTGTGAGCATCAAATATGGAGCAGCCACACAGGCCAGCTGTGTCTACTCCTAAAAGGGAGCCCCTGGATAAGCACCCAGAAAACCTGTTAAATCCCAAGAGAAGTCGACTTTCTAGCCTTGTGATTGCAAGGAAAACACAGCTGTTTGAAATGCTTCATGGTGATTGACGACACCTTTGTCCTTCTCTGAAAAATAGCCTGATTTGGAGTTGTGAAAAATACAGTCACGTGGAGTCTGCTGGATGTGATAACAATGGAAAAACTAAAAAAATAATACCGAGATCAGAGAAACATAATGAGGATAGCAAAGAGAGGAGGGATGGACGGTTTCTTTGAGCCCCCCAAATTCCCTAGGAACCTACACTTACTAATGAAATGACATTCACTCCGGTCCATATACAGCACCCCCTCCACTCCAGAGCCCCCAGAGAATAAGCCAATCATGCCCTGGAGGGAAGGGCAGTGCAGGCCAATGTGACTCTGGCTACCTTCAGAAAAACATTTCCTACAAGAACTATCAATGATCATTGACAAGAGACAAGTAAATGTCAGCACTCCACAGCTATTGAATGGGAGGGAGTCGGCCCTTCCCATTACTAGGAGCATGAAAAATGCCACCGACCTGTTGAATCCTATTGTAAGGCAGGGCTTACTGGGGTTAGGGGAGGGCTGCACCAAAGTACTTACATCTGTCATTCCGATCCTCTGGGCTAGATGAGGCTTCCCGATCCGAAATGAGGCCAGAGACAGCAAAAATCTTCTTCCCAGTGTCGTCAACCTTAAGTGAACCGGGGGAGCTAGATGGCAGCTGTGTCCCAAAGTCATATTCCTTGCCATCTGCATCTGAGAAGCGCAAGTGGGGAGACTCTGTGTCATGGCAGTTTTTAAGTCGCTTGGCCGGCGTAAAGGCTGACTGATAACTCTCCCGGTCCTCAGTGGAAGCAAAGGGACGGAAGGCCCCCACTCCACTATGATTCAGCATACTGATTGGGGTGCAATCTAGATTGGGGGGGGCGAACTGAGGGTGGAGGTGTAGTAAAGAAGGGGGAAAATCACGATTGGCAAAAGTGCCCGGCACCCCACCTTGCCGATGGTACATAGAGGCAAAGGTGTAGGAGCCATTGGTGAACGGAATATGCACGTCCTTGTCTACCGAGACAGGTACACCGAAGGGTCGTGGCTGCTGACAAGGGATGGAAGCATCACGGCTGGCCTCAGCCGTGGACGCCAGGACCATCAGTGCTGGGGATGCCAGCGGGTTGGGGAGGTAGGATGAGTTCTCCATCTTGAAGGCTGCCCGGTGTAAGTCCATCGGAGTCTCTTTCTATGGCCGACGTCACACAAGAAGCAGTCTTCCCTGGGAGGGAGTGGCACCTGGGATCAGGGCAGGGAATATTACTGGGGAATCATCCCCTTCTAAGACCTGCGGAAACAGCAAAGAGAAAGAAAGAGGGGGGAGGAAGATCAGGGGGAGGAAAGAAAAGGGAAACCCCAAGTGATCGAAACACCATCCTTCTGGCTTACAGATGCTCGGGCAAGAGACACCACAGGCTTTAGGAGCCAGTGGGCAGCAGCATCAGACCATTTTCATTCAGGAAAATCAATAGACAACTTACTGTGATGTACGCGTAGCTGACTTTGGTCCCTACACGTTCCGGGTGAAATGCGCCCGAGCCCAGCAAAGGAAAAAAAAATCATAAAACCTCCAAATACAATATTCCCTGAGCAAATGAGCTTTGGAAGGCCAAGTCACCCAGTAGATTAGGTGGGGGTCTATATTTTAAAGGGCTTGCACCTGCATACACTGCTCATGGCTGGCCTGGTGTTCAAACAGAGACCAGTTTCTACTCATATGACCCCCCGCATCCGCATCCTCTCTTCGTCTTCTCTAGCAATGCCCTGAGACTGAAAAAATCCTAAGTCAAGCACATCTAGATCATGAACACCTCCACGTGTTAGTTGGTACAAGTCGTACATGTGGATAAATCACACACACTGGCACATACATTAACACACATCTTCATGTATCATCTAAGACTGTTTCCAGAAAGAAGTACTATGTGAAGAAACAACAGCAGCATTATTTTTGATCCACACCCCTCCCTAATCATATAGGCTTTCTCTTTTCTGAGAAGGAACAAAACCTTCATCAATAAAGTGCCTGGCGTCTCTGGCAATATTTAAAAACATGACGGGTGCCTTTGGCATATGTTCTCTGGAAGCGTCTGTCTTCCAGGGGCAGCAAAGAGCTGATTGGTAATTTTAGTTACTAATGCACTCACTCTTAAGCAGATTTGTAAACTGCCTTGAATTTGCCATTGCCATTTAGAGCAAAATGTTAACAAAATTTCTGACTTACTTTCCTCTGCTTACTGGCCCAGTCAGAGTTGATGTCCGCTAAAGACCCCTGGAACAAATTGTAGTTCAGAAAGACTTCTTTCAATTTCCCTTTTAAATTTAGGTTGTACATTTTCATAGCCACTGATTCTGTTTCAAAATTTATTTTGAGTAGGGGGTGGGAGAAGGGCTGTGTATGAAAGTCAGGATAACAGAAGATGAATACTAGGACTTATTCGCTTCAAGGATGTACACTAAATAAAAACTTAATGAAACTTAAAGTGTAACCAGAAAGCACCATCTGCTACAAATCATAACCTCTAAATTGAGAGTCATGTCTCAAATAAAATTTACCCCCTCCCTTAAAAGAAACCCACCTAGATAAAGGAGTATCTCTGATATTCCCTCAAACAGAGTGACCTCAGTTAAGCAGTAGATGGATCCTCCCGGCTTAATGCAGCGCATAGAGAGTATTTCCTTCTCCCATCCTGTAGCAGACATGTCAATGACTGTTATAAATTGGGAAGATGAGTGCACACCATCAGACTGCTTCCTCATTTGGCATCTTTCCTTATAGACATCATTGCTAAATTACCAGATTATGTATCTCACATTAACGGATTTTTCTCTCTCCCAAATTTTAAATAACTTTCCTGTCAAGTTATAGCAGTGCAGGGAATGATCTGCCAAGGACAGCCAGTTAGGCTGACAAGTCTGGGAATCCTGTTCTTGGCTGTTTTCAAGTCAGATTAATGGTCATACAACACGGATGCTCCGAAAGTGGGTCCAGGGCTGTTCCAGGGGTTCTAAGCAGCTCCTCACAACAGAAATAACAAACTACTTGTCAAACAAGCAATACTATATGAGGCAAGCTGGAGAAAAGGGCAAACATAATACACTAGGGGTGAGGGGAAGGATGTTCCCCCCCCAAAAATAACCATCACCCAGAGGATTCGCTTTTTATTTTTACTTCCTGGATCACCTCATTATCTTAAATGAGTTTAATAAATTAGTAATCTGGCAACAGCACTGGACACTCCAACAGAACACAGTGAATCACTCAAACCTGGTTATTCATTTGAAACTTCATTATACTGAAAAGAAATCAACAATATTTTCCCAGGCCACATCTTTTTTACTCCACTGTGTGGGCGTTGGTCTCTGTGGGGGAAGGGGGAGTGCTTTTTTCTTTTCCCTTTTCTTTCTTACCCCCTCCTCACATTAACAACTTGTATAGATGAGGCTTCAGCAGACCACAGTCATTATGAAAATCTATAGTTAATACACTCCCAATGTCAAAATGTCATGGGTTTAAACACAGAACCCCAAATAAGAAAACTGACCCTCTTAATTAAAAAAATATGGATTGTAAGATAATCAGCTTGATGGAGCATTTGGGTGACTGTAAAGAACTGGCCAAAGGGAAAGTAAGTAACTGTTACTCTTCTGCCTCTATGCTGATTTTTTTTAATTTAGCACTTCGTGCAAATCCAGATTAAAATAACTCCAGCTATTGATCTGAGCAGTGGAATTGACATTAATTTTAGTTCACTTCTCACTTTGCAAAGGGATCAATAGGAAGTAATAACAGCTGACATCCCCGCTGAAAGGAGGAGAAAGAAGGGCTGAAGACAGAAATCGAAAAGCAACCAAATAAATCATCAGCTACTTTTCCACGGCATCAGACAAACTCCAAACAGATTGCAAAAAGTCTTTGTTGAATTAACTAAACAAGGAGGAGGGATCAATCCACGAAGCTAAATAAATTGTCTGGCAGGCAGTGAGGTTGGACGGAGGGACTAACAAATATTGAGTTTTTAAAATTTCAAATCCTTGACGTGATGGGTTTGGTTCAGGGCTGTATGTGTGGCAGTTTGCTAAATCACACACCCGACCCTGGTTTAAAGTGATTACAAAACGCCAGCTAACTGAATAATTAGTGAGATCACTAATTGCGTGGTTAAACATGCCAGAACCAAGACAAATGAAACGAAGAAGCTGGCGTTTGGAACATGAACATGTCTGAAACTGGGCTGATCCGCAGCGCTCCCCGCTCTCCAGCGCGAACTAGCCACTTTCCCATTGAAAAACCGAAAGCCTGAGAGAAAGTCTCAGAGAGCGAGCAATCTCCCACCCCAGCCTCTGACCATCCCTGTCCAGCGTCTTTCCTGACCCGCGCCGGGGATCGGTGTAAAAGGAAGAGGAGCTGCGGCTGCTTCTGCTGCCCTGAGCCAAACCCACTTGCAAATGACAGCCACAAAGAAAGCTGCAAAAGCCTCTTTCCCGGAGCCCGAGCTCTGAACGCCCACCAAACTACGACTCTGCTGGTAATTAAAACGCACACACAGCCCCCCTCTGCTTATTACAACAGGTGACATTTTTGTGGTCTCTGAACCGTTTCCAAAAGCCAAGAATTAAAATAATAGAACAAATTAAACGATATTTTTCCTTTGCATAAATAAACTTTAAAAAATTAACAGGCATCTTAAAAAGCAAAGAACAGTGGGAAATGGGGCCAGGGTGGTGGAGGGTTGTGAAGAACTCAGGGAAGATTTTTTTTTTTTTTAAGTTCACAGACTTCTCCGCTTGAAGAGAATTCCCGAACGCCAAATGCCCGGGGGGTATTTGGAAACACCGCTCTAACAGAAATATTTTACCACCATATGCACGAGCTCAGGAAGCAGAAGGCTAACACGGTTCCGTGGCTGGGGCCAACGCCTGCGATTCACACTTGGCCTGGTATCTGTCCCAAGTTTGGGCCCCGACTCAGGCCCGGCTTGGCCAGCGGGTGGGAAGCCAAGACCACCCGGCCTGTCCGAGAGTGCGGGGCCGCGGGGCTGCCGCTCAGCGAGCGGGGGCACAGTTCAGCCTCTAAGTCTTCAAACCGGGAAAACCCAACTCTTTTAGGGAAAACGGAGGAAGAAGAGGGGAAGGCGAAACCTGCATAAACTTAGGGCCAACGCAGAGCCGAGCCCACCACTCCTCGGCCTGACCTCTCCCTCCAGCTCTCGGTTGCCTTTGCACAAACAATACTTTAGGTCCCAACAACCTCCGCACGAAACATCTGTTTGTAACTTTGGGGAACCGGGGCTCCAGCCAGGCAAGAACCGCTAAGTGCGACGGGCCCTCGTCCGCGGCCGGGTATGACCTGCGGGGCAGGAGCTCGGAGGAGGCTGCCTTCGATCAAAGTCCAAGGACCTCGTGCCCCTGCACAGCCCCGCCCCGCAGGTCACCCGGGTCCTGTCGCCGCGCGCCACTGCTTCGGCGGGCAGCCACCAGGCTCCTGGATTGCGGGGCTCCTGCACAGGCGGGCCGGCGCGGGGCAGCCGGGCCCTGCTGGTTCTCGGACAGCGGGCCTGGAGTGCGGGAGGGAGGGCTCTGCCTCTCGCGCCGCGGCCGCTCGGCCGACGCACACGACGCGACTCGCAGAACAGGTGTGTGGTCCCCGCTCGCTCGGCGCCCGGCCCCGTCTGTCACCGCCGCCCTGTCCTCGGGCTTCCCCCACTCGCCCCGGAGTACGGCGAGAGAATTGACGCCACTTTCGCCGGGTTTCCGCGAGCCGGTAGGGATCGGCACGGAAGACGCCCTCATCGCTTTTCCTCGACGCTTTTTCTGCCTTTCCCACCTCGGCTCATTTTCCATCTGCGGGAAGAACCCCCGAGACGGGCAGAGGAGGAGGCCGGCACCCCTGACCGCTCTGTTCCCTCCTGCCTGACTCGCCGCTTCCTCCCGGCCGGCCCTTTTTTTATCTTTATTTTTCCTTTCTTTCCCCTTTGCCCCTCAAGCCGAGTCTGGTGCGGAGGCGAGAGGCGAGACGTGGCTGGTGGGCATCGTGGGCAGAGAGTGCCCGAGTCTTCCCTCTGAGCTGTTCCAGGGCGGGAGGCGGCGCGGGCGAGAGACCCCAGACTGCCGGCCCGGCCCGGCCTGGCAGGACTGAGCCCCATACCGAGAGCCCCCGCCCCATACACCCGCCCGGTGCGACGCGCGCCCGGCTCGGGGCCCGGGCTCTGGCCCTCCGCTGGAGCCGCTGCCGGGCTCGAGAGAGCGCGTTCTGATCGGGAAGCGAGAGCTCTCCCCCTGCCTTCGGGTAGCCCGAGTCCCCGCTACTTCTGGGCTCCCGCGCGCCGGGCCGGCCGGGGTCCACCCGGACCTCGAGCTCTTGGAGGGGCTCCTGGAGCGGAGGACAGACCGGGCATCCCCTCGGATGGCCTCACCACCGTGGGCGGCCTCGCCCGGGGGGCCACACGGAAGCTCTCCGCCCAAGTTTGTTGTGCCCTGGAAGAATAAGGCTTTCCCTTACAAAGCACAAAGGCGAAACGCCCAGGCGGAGCCCTGAAAATCCCGGGGTTGGGGAGAGGGGCGACCAGAGGCTCGGGAGCGAGGTGGCGGGCCTGGCTCCGGGCGGAGAAGGTCGCTCCGCCCGGGCTGACGAGCGCGGCTGCGGTGGCCGCAGGACTGCAGCGCCCGGCGTGCTCGCTGAAAAGTTTTGTTCTCAAGTCGGAAGAAGAGAAATTGTTACTCAGTTTAAGGCAGGTCTAAGATAAAAATAAAACTACAAAAAGAGCCCCGCGCCGCTGTCTGTACGGCGGTCCTCCCGCCCCGCTCGGTGGAACCGCTGGGAGAGAGAGTCCCGGCCCCGAAAATCCCGGGAGACCTCTCACGGGTCGGGCTGCTCTGAGACCAGGCCCGCGGGCCGAGCGGAGCGGGGAGTTTACCCGCTGTATTTCGAGCGGTCCACCTCTGGGCCAGCACCTGCCTCCTTCCTGCCCGCGGGGGCTTCCCCCACCCCCACCTCCACCTCCTCCACGCCCTTCACCCCCGCCCCCTCCAGGAAAGTAAGCCGAGCCCCCGGAGGCCCCAGGTTTCCAGCCTCTCCCCGGGTACCCCACCGGGCAGGCCGTGTGTTGTGTGGGGGCGGTCGAGGTCCTTTCTCATTCGGATCGCCCCTTCCCCATCCCGCCAGCAGCCTCGGGCTCCCCGCTGAGTACCACCCGGCCCGGGCCCAGCCGGAAATCACCGCGGGATCCACTGGGGAGCCGGGCAAGAGGGCATTCTGGCGTTCGACCCAAACAAAGTGGGAATGTGGCTTATTAAAAGATGGAAAAAAGGAGTCCCGCTCCCTTCCCTCGCCGCCCCTGCCCCCTCACCCTTCCTACTTGTCCAATTCCCGCGTGTGGTCCCTCCCCCTCGCACCCCCCAAATAAAACACATTAAGGAAAACTCAAGACGGAAAGTTTGACTGAAGCAGCGCATGGAGTGCGCAGGGCACCGATGCCGGGAGGCACCGTCGCGAAGATCTGAGACGCGCCAGTCCAGATCCCAGCCCCTTCCCCTGTCGGGAGCGGGGGGCGGGAAGCTGCCCGAATCCCTAGGAAACGAACCCGGAAAGTTAGCCAGGTTCCTGAGCCAGCCGGCTGCCTTCGCACCCACCCCTCTTATGTACGCACACGCATCCACACCCCTTTCTGGTCTCCATACTTGCCGTGGAAATTCCTTGGGAGAAAGGTCGCACTTTTCAGGACACGGAGGGAAGGAGGCGGTGAGTGTGGTGCATGAAAAGTCCCGGGTGCGCAGAGCCGGCGGAGGCAGCGGCGGCGGCGGCGGCGGCAGCGGCAGCAGCAGCAGCAGTAGCAGCAGTAGGCGGCTGGCCCCGGGTTTGTGTTCGCGAGCTGCCTGGGATTGCATGTACAGATCAAGAGACTCGGTTGGTGTAAGAGAAGGAGCAGTGCTGCCTCTCAGCGCTGGCTCTAATCAGTGAATGAGCCTCCACTCTCCCAGGGACTCGGAGACACACACGCGCGCACACACACACACACACACACGCACATTCACACTCACACACATACAGGCACTCTGAGCACTGAATACATTAGGGCACTAAGGGACTCTGGGAAATGGAGTCCAGAGCCAGGACACTCCTGGAGCGCAGACCTGCTGGCCTTCGCGAAAGAGCTCGAAAGTCTTGGGGTTTTGAGACGTTGTGGAAACTGAAGAGAGCTCCTGGTTTTGTTCACATTTACGCCCCTTGAAAGATCTCAGTAGGTGGTTTGCTGTCCTTCCTCTCTTGAACCAAAAGCTACCAAGAGTAAATGGGTATCTTTAATACTGACACCCACTGCAGCTGAATGACTCCCAAATCCTGGCTCCCTCATAAACTCTGCCTTTTTCCCAGAAAAATCTTACCTATCACTTTGCTCCTGGAATGCTTCTCTGGGTCTTTGCCTATAATAATAAGATAATAAATGAATATAAATAAAACTGTTACTTGCAGAGGGGGTGGAGAGGGCCTAGTTCAGCATGCATTTTTGAGATAAAAATTGTTATTGGTGTTTATATTTACAGTTCTTTCCTTTCAAATAATTTTATATCATCCTTTAATTCACCACGTACAGAAAGATAAATAAGGGAAATGGATGGAGAACTAACATTCCCTGAGTGACTTCTAGAAGCTGGGTTATGGGACTAAATGCCTTTACATAATCCCATTTATCCTTAGATCAATTCTGGAGATAATATTAGCACTATTTTATATATAGAAGAGGAAGCTGAGGTTGAAAGGGTTTTGTAACTTGCCCATGGGAACACGGTTAGCTATTCTAGGGTAGCAGGTATTCCAAACTCTGGAAGGGAAACCCAACCAAAATCTAATCCTGGTTTAAGAAATCCCTCCTTTCTGTGGCTCAATTTCTAAAACCACAGATTTCTCATCTCAAAAGAAAAATGGGGGTGGGGTGGGGAGTACATACTGATAATCCTCCCTCCAAAGAACCACGTGGGATTACAAATTGTCTATCTAGAAGCATAGAGCCCTCACAGTCTCATTCTTGCTATTATTTCATGGTCCCTTTTTTCTTACATTTAACATTAAGGTAGCATCTAAATATTATGTATGTTTAGGTGTACATGTGTTGTATGCATTGTTTGTATTTAAAATTTTTAGTTAGCAACTCTAAGTAAATAGTTAATTTGATCAACCTAGAGGTCTATGCTTATGACTATTTCTGTCTCTGAAATTCATGAGATCAGGGTTGTTAAGGAACCTCTAAGTCTTTATCTCCACGTTGAGTCATTCATTCACACAGTGGCATTTAATGTATTAGGCACTATTCTTCCTGCTAGATTATTCTTTCCTGCTGGATTGTAAGCTTCATGAAGGCAAGAACCATGTTTGCTTTATTCAGCATTATACCTCAGCATCTAACAGTGTCAATCTCTTAGCTGAATGAATAAATGAGGATATAAAAGTAAAATGAACAAAATTTCTGCCCCCAAAGGGCTCATTATCTAGTAGGTGAGACTAGAGTTAGAAAACAATTTGATGACTGCTAAAATTAGGGTAACCATGTAATTTTTTGGCCTGAGACAAGTTTGATAGTGAAAAGAAGTACTATTAATAATTATGCTGGGGTGGAAGGGGTAAACAGGGACCATTCTGAACCAAGCATATTGAATGGTCACTCTAACTACATAAGGTGTTTCATTCATTCAATTAACAAGCATTGATTGGGAACTGTCTTGTGTGGTATGTTGGAGAAACTACAAGCCGCTTGATTTCCCTAGAAATTGAAGTATGAGCATTGAGTAGCAAGAGAAAATCAGGGGAAGTGGGACAAATCATAAAAAAGTTACGTATACTAATTTAAGGAAAGTGGATGTTATTCTACAGGTGATGAGAAACCCCTAGAGGGTTTTTCAGGGGTGTGACATGAGAGAATTTCTGTGTTAAAAAGAGCACTAGGGACTTCCCTGCTGGTTCAGTGGTTAAGAATCTGCCTGCTAATGCAGGGGACACAGGTTCGAGCCCTGGTCCGGGAAGATCCCACATGCCACGGAGCAACTAAGCCTGTGTGCCACAACTACTGAGCCTGCGCTCTAGAGCCCGCGAGCCACAACTACTGAGCCCACGTGCCACAACTACTGAAGCCCGTGCACGTAGAGCCTGTGTTCCACAACAAGAGAAGCCACCACAATGAGAAACCCGCGCACCGCAACGAAGAGTAGCACCCGCTCGCCACAACTAGAGAAAGCCTGCGTGCACAGCAACGAAGACCCAATGCAGCCAAAATAAATTTAAAAAAATAATAATAAAATAAAATGCCAATTCCAAGAGCAAAAGTACAAAAAAAAAAGAGCACTAGTTACTGGGTGAGCAGTGTGGAGTTTTGACTGGAGGTAGGGAGACCAATTAAGGAGTCTATTACAGGTAATTCAGTTGGGATATAATAGGGTCTGAACCAAGGTACTAGGGCAGCGGGAATGGAGAAGAGGGGACACATTACAGTGAAAACTAAAAGGTGGAATTAACAGGATTTAGCCACTTACTATAGTAGATGAAGGCGGAAAACTCTATATAAATCCTAAAAAGGATTTTATTATTTATAGGACAAGATGCTGTCAGTACTTTAATGTTCATTGGTAGTAAAAGACTTCCTCAGATGAGCTTATAGAGTTCCCATAAATCTAATGCACAATCTCACAGGTAGGTGATATAGATAAGAAGCCCCATGTCAATCACCAAGCCAAACATTCTAATTGCTACCATATGCAATGGTCTGCACTATGATGCAAGTACTTAGGTTTAGAAGAAATAATCACTGTCTACAAAGACAGTCTAAATTTAAAAATTAAATGCACAACCCTCACAAAACCATAGCATAATCATATAATGCAAAATCGAATATGTAATACCTCACTAATTCACAGGTCATATATCCAGCAACCTCAGCTATCCAAAACACAATGAACTAGGAAATAAGCAAAAGGGGTCCCAGAGTAGCCAAGATAAACATTACAAAGACTATGCACTAAAGTTAACACATTTCACTCCTAGGAGGATTCCTCAAGCCTTCACTCAGAGCCGATTTACTCTTTCTTAGGTACAATTCTAATAAGCTTGATTATTTGGCTTTCCCATTCACGGCTGATTAAGATTGTCAAATTAAAAGGGGGCAGCCATTAAAAAGAATGAGATAGACTTGGATGTACTGCCATGCAAAATACCTATTGTATATTGTCAACTGGGAAGAAAAGCCAGTCATAGAACAGTGTGCAGAATATGATTTGATATTTGTATATACACAAGTATACACACACGTTAAAAGAAAATGGCCTGTGGGGATGTACATTACACTGCTAACGGTGCTTATGCCTAGAGAGTGGGAGTGTGAATGTGGGGGGGACGGTGGGGGGCCAGGAACAAGGAAGGACTTGGACTTTAAGCGTTTCTGTTTGTGTGTCAATGAACATATATTAGTTTTGGGATTTTAATATCCATTAAAAGACAGACAACAAGAGCAAAGGGCAGTGCTGTTAGAGCGAGCACACTGACACCAAGAAGTGGTGACCAAAACACAAGAAGTGAGCACAAGAGCTCTCAAACCAGAAGAGAATGGAGTTATTTGGTGTGGAGACAAAAAGTCCTATCCCATCAGTGTCCCCAGAGGATGTCATGAATTCCAAGCCAGCATAAAGCTGGTGCTTTCAGGGATAAGTCATCAGGGACACATTATGCTTAGTATATTTTACTTGAGAGAGGAAGCGTATAAAAACTTTAAAAAAAAGTAAATTCCCACCAAAAACAGATTTTGATACTTTAGGAAGTAAATTTCACTTGTCTGGAAAATAGGCTTTTGTGGAACACATCACTCCCTGAAGATGAGAAGGAAAGGAGATATTACTTAATGTAAGAGCAGAAGGGATGCAGAGTAAGGGATGGTCCATAAACTCAACATTCAGCAAACATTGACTGAGGGGCTACCAAGTGCCAGTCACTAAGGACACAAAAATAAAGTTAAAAATAGTCCCTGCCCTAGAGAAGCTTACAGTTCAGCAGCAGCAATGGATAAGGAAACAGACAGTAAGCTTCGCTGTACAGTGTGAGCAGAGTGCTGTAATGGAAACTCTGGGTAAAGGGTGGTGGGAACACAGAAGAAGGTGGTCCTAACTCTGCCTGGCGCTATTAGGAAAGGAGGCAGAGATGTAAGTGGGTGTCCAAAAAATTTAACTGTGCTAAATTAACTGTCCCCTCTTATGGGATGACACTTAAGTTAGCTTTGAAGGATAAGTAGAGTTTACCTAGGGAGAAAGTAGGAACAGCACTCCGGATGAGGGAATAGCATATGCTAAGGCACAGAGACCTGAAAGTTCCTGGTGCATTCAGATAGTGCATTTCAAACTTTTCCACAAGAAAGGGGTGGTGGTTGATGGTGGTGTCTAAGGGCAAGCCACAGATGACTTGTCATTAGCTTGGAATTTATGTATCCTGTTTTATCTTGAAAAAAAATCAATGCAAATTTTGCCTTCAAGTCCACAAATATATTGTGCTTTAATATAAAACAATGTTTTATATTATTTATCATCTGGTAAAGCTGATGCTTAAGAAAGATGCGCCACATTTATCCAGTACTTTCTCATATCCCATGTGTAACACTAAATGATCCAGGGGTCCTTGTTCCTAATTTAAAAAACAAAGATATAGAAGACATAAAGGTGCGCTGGCAAAGTAGAGCAACGGATTGTGAAGGGTCTTGTTTGTCACGTTAAGGAACTGGATGCTTCAGCGTCTGGCATACTTCAAGACTTGGCTTAGGCATGATCTCTTCCAAAAGCTTTGCTGCCTACCAGTCCTCTCTCCTCTTCAGCCCCTGTTATCCTAGCATCCTATGCATTTATCTATCCACGGACCACATTGTGCAGGAATTATCAATTAAGTTCTCAGGCTCCTCCACTAGACTTTGATCTGCTTAAAAGCAGTTGTTTTGCATAGTACTTAGCACAATAGATACTGGTATCTGTTGGATTGTATTGATTTAAATCTGAGGACAAGATTCAGGAAGCACAAGACCGGACAAGGC